TGTGAAAAAAGTTAATTTTAAATGGAGTAAAAAGAAATATATAAACATATAAATTTAAGCAAAATACCATTTTGAAGGCTAGATTTCGACAAAGTTATTTATATGAAAACGAGAAAATTCATGTTTTATCGAATTCAGATAGATTAAATCAATATTACCCGAGTGTATGAGAATATGAAAGTTTTCGAAAACGAAAAGTGACATCAGACATTTATTAATTTATTTCAAATGGCAGGCATTTTGATAGTTATCATTAGCCCTTTAGCTGATTACGGGTTTCACAGAGAGAAAGGTAACCAAAGTATCAGAATGTCGAGGGGTGGGGGACAGAAGAGTGATTCACAGATGTAAGAGACAGAAAGACGAAAAGGCAGAGAAGAGGTAAGATGAGTACAGTGGAAGTGGTCGAATCTGACATAGAGTGAGGTCATGGTAGTTAGAAGTCAACTGACAATTAATAGGCTTTTTATGCAATATGTTATACGTTGCCCAGGGTGCATCAAGTGGAGGTAAGACTATCAAACACCCCAAGAAGCCAGCAACATCGGGTATTCCCAGCCCGTCACTCATGTAAGTTCTAACCCTGTCCGACGTACTTTCTACTTGGTATGGTCGCTGACTATACCATATGAGCATGAAAGTGTTCAAAAATGAAAAGTGGCATCAGACATGACAAAAATTATAAAATGCAATGACCTTATCTGGTTACACAGTGTGGCTATGTCTTAGGTAGATACTTCAAATCCAACTTGCTAAAATATGACATTTCGCGTTACTGATCTAGTTCGGCTAACAAGCCTATCTATCAAACCTTGAGACATTAAATAGAAGTAAGTGTGAGATCCTAAGATAAATTTAGCCATAAAATCAAATATTTGTTTTCAAAATTCTATTAGACGCACTCGTCTATTCTTAAAAGCTATTTATCGATCTCATCTTCTATTCAACGCCTGAGTTGTGAGGCTTAGTAGCAAGAAAATCATATTTTTGTGAACCCTATCGGCTCTCCATCTTGAATTAGCTGAGTTCATGCCTGCCAAAAATGAAAAAGTGTGTTAAATGCGTGTATATTTGTAATGGTTAGAAATTTATACTCATATTGACAGCGATTTATTTCTAATTTATGGCGTGGCCTAGTTTCTTCCAACTAAACAAAGACCTTAACTGATGAAGTAGAATTGCGAAATAAATGGTTTTACTAATATCCTTGTCTGTATCAAAGGACATTATCTTCTGAGAATGTCTTATAACAAAACGCTCTAATATGTCAATCAATTAATTAAATAATTCTGCCTTTTTGTAATTTCAATTTGCTACCAATGACTTTTTTAACACCGTGTTTATCGCGTATAACACTCATTTCCTAGGCACCTGGACATCCGTTTCCAAAATTGGGAAATATTTGCCAACCAAATTTTGAGACTCGATGTTTGAGAACATATTCTCGGTTTGTCTACTCAGTCTGCTAGGTTGGTTAATAATTGAATTTAATGAACTGATGAAAAAGTTACCTTCTTCATTAATCTGAATCGATTGCGGCGTTTATCTCTATAAGATTTCAAATAATTTGAAACATTCAATAATTTCAAACGATTTCCATAAACAATTAATCAGTCTCATTTGTAATATGCTTTGAGTTATTCAACAGTTTTTAAAGCACTATTTTTCCCATTGAGGAGAAAATGATAATGCCATAATTTAGAAGGCACCCACACTGCTATCTTGCTTAAAAACATCCGGTTTTGGAGCCGAAGTAAGAAAATTAATTTTTCACTTCCTTCTCAACAGAAGTACTGTGTTCCTAAATATTCATTTGCTTAAGACTTTAATTTGCATGGCCAATAGGTCGAATGGCAGTAATATTAAAAAAATGCGGAAACGCAAATAAAAATTTGATAAAGTATTGTCTGCACAAAGACACAGGAAATCAAATTCGCACACTAATTAATGACTGATGAACAAATTGCTGCATGAATTAAAACTACACGTGGTCATTCATTCTTGGGACACAAGAGTTTACTTGAAATAGCAAATGCCAGTGGCAGGTAGGAAGTGGGTAGCCAATCAGAGTGCCACTTGGACATTGACCAATAAGAGCGCGCCTAATTGCCAAAACGTGCACAAATTGGCCCAAAAGGACCATGAGGAATGGTGTTCCACTTTCCGAATTCGACATAAATACACACATCAACCTCTTCAAAAAGGTTTAACTTTCGAATATCTCCAACATCTTTTCAGCTAGAGGAAGACATAGAGGTATCTCCGTCCCCCCTTCTCCATGATGTATTGAAACTGATGCTTCCTTCATCGTCACAGATGTCCTATTTCTCTATGTCAATTGATTAGTATGATCACAGGGATCCAGAAATTTCTACTCTTTCTTCTTCTAATTTCGACGGCTCTTCCTACGCGGCTTATAGCGTACCCATCCAGATATAAGAAATCCCGTTACTTATTCATGACCAGAAGAATGATTCCAAAACCGAAGGAGGATGCAAATGATTCCAGGAAAGATTTGCAGGATATGATTGCAGCTACTCGCAAGTACTGTTCTTGTGGACAGCCCGTTCTTCAGAGCAGATTTTGTAATCAAGACTTCAGTAAGTTCAATTTAGTCATCCGTTTTTTTATAAATAAAACAAATATATAATATTTATAAAAGAAAATTACGCCAATTCATTTGTTTATCTAATAGAAGAAATTAAGGTGAAGGTGTTTTTACGAAAAAAAAATGATTGTGGTTTTAAATAAATTTATCTTTCGTCTGCATTAGAGCTTGAGGCTAAACAGCCTTTACAACGCTTCGTTGGTGACGCAATGACCACCTTGAACCTTTGCCATGCTTGAGGGCGTGGTTCTATTCTTGTCATTTCCACCTGAGGGAAATGGCTAACCGCACTGTCGAAGTCTAGGCAATATGAAGGATGAGAGAACACGAGTCTTCCATTAATGAGGCGCTGCGAATTTTCGCTTCTTCCAAGCTAAGAGTGGGAAAATGTTTTCCCAGATAGGCTTGAAAATTAATGGTACAAATGCACGTTCCAAATTTTTAAGGAAAGAAGAAAACGCTTCCAATATTATCATCAATACTTTTAATTTCTTTAATAAAAAAGTCCTTATGTATCACGCATATTTATATTGGATGTCATAATGAATTTCAAGCCCATAATGTTATTTCCCGAACATATTAACTTGAGATCGCAATGAAATTGTTTATTTGTCACGTCAGCATAATCAGGATTGAAAAGGAGACTGCTTTTTTCTTGATTTGATTTTCTTCCTTAAATCATTTGCTATTGAACAAATTTTAAGGTTATAATGACGATTTCTTGGCCAAATTAAAACGCATGTAAACCCATGTGTTTGGACAAATGAGAAGTTGGTTGCCTGGCGTTGAGAAAGACCAGGGAGGCAAAAAAATACAAGGAACAGAACAAGAAAATGAATGCGCTTGCCGCAACAATCCGTCGAAATAGATAGCCGAGGGGATCTTTCCTCCTAATCCCAAGCTCTTTTTCCCGGCACCATGAAAAGTGGGCTGGAAAGAGGGACACAGGCATTTGAAAAACACCTGGGCAAGGAGGTAGTAGGGGACTTTGAGGGAAGCAAAACTTCCCTCCATTTTGCCAAGAATACACTACGTCGAATCTCGTAATCATCAAGGCATAGCTTGCACTCTTCATTCATGTTTAAATAGTCCATAATGGTCCTCAGTGTATTTTTCCCTTCTTTTAGGTCAATGGCTCGCCATAAAGTATAGGTCAAACTGCTTTGTACCATTCTTTACAAAAGCGGGGGGGGGGGGGTTGGGAATAAAGATCTGGACAATTGACAGGACATTTTGTCCTCTTTTATGGCCTATTTTGTCCAATTTCTAATAATGAGCGTTAGGAATAGTTGTTTGAATAGGAGATTGGCTTTGTTAAACGCTCCATAGTTTGTTTAAGAGAAATGAGTAAATAGAAATTTAATCACCGACAGATCGGGACACATCTGTTTTACTTCAATGGGGAAATCATGGAGCTACCGTAGTTGCAAACAGACAGATTTTATAGCACAACCTAGAATAAAGAGCCTTAATGGGATTTGACAAATGGTCAATTTATTTTTAAGAAATCATTATTAAAATTTGAGCAATTCTTTTCCATGGCCCCATTTTAAACTTAGAATACAATTCTTTGAGAAAATATTTCACGGTAACAAGTCTAATTGGTCCAAATCACAAACTGAATTATTGGTTTAATTGGCGGAAATCTCCGTATGGATATAACTATTGGATGAGAAATTAGATTAAGGGAACTTCAATTCTGGCGGAATTTCAAGTCATTTTCATATATTGTAATTACGTGGAATTTGATCAAATATTTGCTGATTCAATATAGATTGAAGATGATCTATTTTCTTTGAAGACTATCTTAAAACTAATGCGAAATCTGCAATTTAGTTCAAATGGAAACGGTTCTGCCCTTTTTAAAACTAATTTAACACAATTATTATCAATGCAATTGAAAATCGAATTAATTTTGATCATATGCAAAGGTTAGAATAGCTGAGTCAAAGACGGTATATTTATTCTCTCATTTCTAGTAATTTTGGCGTACGTGAATGTGGAAAGACAAAGACCTTTTTGGGGCTTATCTCAAATTGCTGAAACAAATCATTCCAGTCCTGGGTTTCCGTATTCCGGAACTATCATTCCGAGCAAAGTGGTCAAGGACATTAGAGGACCACTTAAGAAAGATCAACACCTCAATATCTACTTCATTCAGGGCTCTCATTGTGGGGTATCGGATGATGCTCTTCCTCGTCGAAGTGGAAAATATGTCTTATTCGGTAAGTCGAATACCTTCTACTTGGTGGTCCGTTTACCTCGGTTGATTAATTTGTGGCAAGCACTCCTTATTTATTAAAACAAAAAAGAAATATGATTGATCAGGTAGATATGATCCAAAATTTGAGTTTCACCTATATATATTAACTGTTGGAACAAATTCTATAACTAGAAAATTCAAGAAAAATAGTGTTTATTTTAATTTAGTGCAAGTTGTAGAAGGCACTCAGCGTTATACTGAGATTGAGAATCGTTGGACAAAAGAGCTGCATAATTATTTGCTGTTTGACTATACGACGAGTCAATGTATTGAGATAAATTAGCTCTTGAAGTTTGAAATGTGGACTTTTAATCAGAAATCGAGGAGTTGTATTTTGAAATTGAAGGTGTATAAATGAAGCAGTACCATAAAAGCCAACTACATTTAAATTCAGGCTCAAAGTTTTTAATATTTCTTTTAACATTTAACTTCGATCCAATTATGAACCATTGTTTTAAATTTTTGGATATATTAAAGAGGCTATTTGACTTATGTTTTTTTAATTGAAAGGCCTTTTCTATGCAAAAAAATGCTCTCGTAGCTCGTATTTTGTTACTTCGGTAACGTAGTTTCTTTTTTCGATAACCTGATCATTCGATCAATTACTCACAACTAAACATATTTAAAATACTCTTGATGTAATCGATTTTCTAAATTCCATGATCATGACAAAGTTAAGGTTGTCTTGTAAAATACTATTTTTTTAAGATCGTACTATCATAGGTTAGTTTGAAAAAGAAATGCACCAACGAAACGCAGGAATGGCTTGCGGATGGAAGATTAATTCAGCTGTTTTCTCCATTTCTCTCCCCATGGAAGCATATAATATCGAATAAAATTATTATTCTTGAAATGTTTCTTAGGTTTCCGCATAGAATTGCCAGGATGTAAGGGTGCTTCCTGCCACCTTCCAAATGAAATCTTTGCTGTGACTCGCTGTGGATGGAGTCAGCCAATTGAAGACCTAACCATCACACAAATAAGTGGTCTCTTTCTCAAAGGTTACAACTGCGGCACAAAGCAATGCACAGTAAGTTGATCTAATTATAACCATACATATACCCTGTCAACTGTTCTGAGATTGACGGTCAATTTGTCATTGAATTTATTACTATAATATTATTGAACGAAGTGTTCATGGAACAACAAGCCACAAATGTATTAATAAAAGGGAAAAAAAGGTGATTTTTCAAGTAATTTTGAATATCACAACTGAAATTTATAAGTGGATTTGTCAATGTCTTTGTGTTTTTTTACCAAATACTAAAGAAAGAATTCTGAAACAAATCACACGCAAGTATACTTTTTACACCTCCATCGATATTTTAAATGAACTTTGCAGAAATGTCCCTTAAAATTTTTCTGATTTATTTCACTTCCTAGAGGGTATAGCCATTTCTATTTTAATCGGTACTGAAAACTGTCGTTATTTTGGCCTCAGCAAGTGCTTTATATGATTTTTAACAAATTTTAATTTTTTGTTTGCCATATTTAATCACAAGCTTGTTTAATTTTCTTTATTAAGAATATGCGGTTGGATAAGGTGTATGGATATGAAAAATAAAACTAGATATTTTTTTGCCCTTTGAATCGATTATCCGTTATTAGAGCCATTTTTATAACCTTCTTGACTTGTGATATCTGATGGGAAAAGTGCTGAGTTTAAGGTAATGCCTATAAAATGTACACTTATTAAAGCGAAAAATAATGTTTAATTCCTGTTTTAACTTTCATCATTCACTCACGATTATAATTAGAATATGTAGTTTGCAATGCTTATTATAAGCAAGCTAATTCAGAGTTTTGAATGATTTCGTCTATTAGCTTATATAGAATGTCCTGTTCAAATGTAGCGTTCCATTTACAATTGATCGTTTATAAATGAAAGATTTAGTTTGCTGTAATTATAACCTTTTGCTTATTCCGTTGAAAAGTTTTGTTTTACTTATAGACAGTTCCGTTTATTTACTGGATGAGCTCGTAAAGTTCCCACTTCGTCAATTCTCTTTTGCATGCTGTTTCTAGATCTATTTTTAACGCCAATATTGGGAAACAATGCATTTTTTTTAAAAAATTATTCACTATTTACTTTTATATTTATTGAATACAGTCTTAAGTAAGATGTAATGCTAGGAATTTTAATAACCTTCACAATTGCATCAATATATGTATATATATATACACATATGTATGTATCTATAGGTGTGTCTAGAGCCTTTAATTTGTCAGGTCAAGCCGCCATTGGCCAAAAAACACTTGATGCCAAATGATGCGATTATTTTTATGCGGTAAATGAATAGCGTGTTCGCTTAATGTTTATACAGGGACAATTTCCATTAATAGGAGAATAATGCAATTAATTCCACCCCACTAAGCACCAAACCCGAGTATAAACAAGAGGCACAAATGCTGTAGCTAAATTGGACTTATCTCAAATGGAATACATTTTAAATTACAGATTCATATCTGATAATCTACTCAAAGTACCAAAAAACAACTTTTCACGTGTAGAATGGTTTGTGAATTAGAGTCAAACTAACTAATGTGAAAAATCAAAATTTTTTAAAGGATTTATACGCCTTAACAGCTGGCAGTTGGGAAAGGTCGCAGTGGCCCTACCTGAGAAACATGTTTATGTGATTTAGTGAAGGAGGCGTGAGACGGAAAACGGACAGGAAGGTTTGGCCCTCCTCCGGCCGCTTGTCTAAAGGGAGAATGATGTGATTTCATCGGCCCTTGGCCCTTTCCCTTTCACCACTTTCGGAACACACGCAATCCCCAGCTTGTCCATTTGATGCCAAGTGTCAAAATGCATTCAAGAGATAACGGGATTTTGAAATGGTTGCAGTTATTTCAAACCCCTCCATTACCTCACCAATATATCACAAAGAGCGAAGTAAACTCATATCACATAAAATAGTTACAGCATTGTCTTACTGATGAGTAATGGCGAAAAGTTCGACACATTTATTTCAATTCGGTTGAAAAATTATCTCCTAGTTATCTGCTAGCAAAAGACAGGTTGCACACGGTCTTGATAGAATAGGGTGGTGTCTTTTTATCTCCTACAGAGGTAAAAAGCTTTGAAATTGCTTTTGCTGTTGTCATCATCATAGAATTAGTCTTGAGTGCATTCCAGTGATCGATTCACTCGTCTCATTCACTTACTTGTGACTAAGAGTACCGGAACAAATCAATTAAAGATATATGAGAAATCATTTATTTATTTCAAATGGCAGGCGGTTTTCAAAAATATATTTATTTATATCAAATGGCAGGCGTTCTGATAGGTATCATTAGCCCTTTAGTTGACTTCGTGCTTCAGAAGTCGAGAGAGAAGGAGGAACATCAAAGTGACAAAAAGTCGAGAGGGGTAGGAGGAGGAACATCAAAGTGACAAAAAGTCGAGATGGGGACTATCATTAGCCCTTTAGTTGACTTCGTGCTTCACAGAAGCAATTTAGCTGACTTTGGGCTTCACAGAGAGGAGGAGGAGACCAAAGTGGCAAAAAGTCGAGATGGGGGGACAGAATAATGTTTCACAGATGTAAAAGAGACAGACAGACACAAAGGCAGAGGGACTTCACAGAGAGGAGGAACAGGCAAAGTCACAAAATGTCGAGAGGGGGAACAGAAGAGTGGCCACAGACGTAAAAGAGACAGACAGACACAAAGGTAGAAAAAGGTGAAATTGGCAAAAAGTCGAGAGGGGGACAGAATAATGATTCAGGATGTAAAAGAGATAGACAGACACAAAGGTAGAGAAAAAGTGACGTAAAAGAGACAGACAGACACAAAGGTAGAAAAAAGGCGAGTACTGTTTAATTAGCAGAATACGAAATGCGGTGGGGTCTTGGTAGTTTGAAGTCAGAAGTCA